GGCAGCTGCTGCAGGGCGGGACCGCGACTGCGGCAGGGGCACCGCGCCAGCTGCTGCAGGGCGGGGCCGCGACTGCTGCAGGGGGGTCCGCGACAGCTGCTGCAGGGCGGGGCCGCGACTGCGGCAGGGGGCTCCGCGACGAGCAGGGACGGCACCAAAGGGGGGGGGGGGGGGGGGGGGGGGACGAGCAGCAGCAGTAAGAGCAGGGCGGCGTGCAGCCAGAGCAGGGCGACGTGCGGCTACAGCAGGGCAGTAGCAGTTAATAGCTCCTAGGGCAGAAGCACCTAGGGCCCTTCTTTTAAAAAAAAAATTTTAATAAATATTTTAATTTTATTTGGGGTTTAGCAGGGCGCTAGCGCAGGGCAGGGCGCCAGCGTGCGCAGGGCAGGGCGCTGGCGCAGGGCAGGGCGCCAGCGCGCGCAGGGCAGGGCGCTGGCGCAGGCTGCAGCAGTGCGTGACGCGACGGGCTGCCTTAGGGCGCGACGCGCGGGCTGCAGCAGAGCGCGACGCGCGAGGCAGCAGCGCGCGACTCGTGGGCTGCCTTAGGGCGCGACGCGCGGGCTGCAGCAGAGCGCAACGCGCGGAGCAGCAGCGCGCGACGCGCGGGCTGCGGTAGGGCGCGACGCTCAGGGCCGCAGCACGGGCGTAGGGCTGGGCGCAGGCGCAGGGCAGGGCGCTGGCGCAGGGCAGGGCGCCGGCGCAGGGCAGGGCGCTGGCGCAGGGCAGGGCGCTGGCGCAGGGCAGGGTGCCGGCGCAGGGCAGGGCGCTGGCGCAGGGCAGGGCGCTGACGTAGGGTAGGGCGCCGGCGCAGGGCAGGGCGCTGGCGCAGGGTGACGCAAGGCAGGGCAGGGCAGGGCGTGCGCTAAGCAGCACGACGTGGGGCAAGGCAGGGCGTGCGCGGGGCAGCGCGACGCAGGGTAGTGGGGTAACGCGGTAACCGCAGTCGGAAGCTAAGTATGGTGGGCCCGAAAAAAAAAACGGTCCTACGGACCTACTGCTCTTAAACCATGTGAAGTAAGCACGCAAGAATGACTAGAAACAGGGCAGTACAAGGTTTGTATAGGCAAAACCTAACAATACTGTACCCCATAAGGAGTGCCCCACTACAGCCTACAATATAGTTCTGACAGCATCCATCCTTTCCATAGTCAACGTAGTGGGGACACAACTTTTCATATGTGTTGTCTAGGGTGGAGCCCATTTTCATGATATTGTCATGCAACATAGTTGAGGAATAGGGCGTTAGTCATTGATATGATGCGAACATACCGTATGGCGTTGAAACGTCAGAAGCAAATATGTTTAAGAGAAGCGTGCAGAGCCGACATTGCATTAGAAATGAGGATCAAGGAGTTCCAATTCGATAAAGCCGCCTATGGCTAATAGTAACCATTTGCCCCCACTCCGCACCATCTTCCCAATCAGGCTGTGGGCAAAGGAGATGCTCCATTTAGTGAAGCATCAACATTTCAAATGTTTGCGACGCATGCATAGGTGTTGAAGAAAGTGTGAAAGTTTAGAAGAAAGAAGAGGGAAGAAGAGGGGTTGCACTAGCAAGAATGGGGATACAAATAGCAAAACCCTAGAAGAGTTGTACTCGCTATAGAGCACCCCATTACAGGCTAGAGCATAATATTCTGACACACCCCCATAGCCAAAGTGGGGTGTAATCAGCAGAGCAAGCAAAAGAAAACAAGCTCAGGGTGGATCACAATGTCACCACACATTCTGAGCACAAGTACAAGAGGTAGCAGTTTTATAGTTAACAAATGTAAGCAAAGCTAGAGGCTATCACAGAGGGCAAGTGAGGAGGAGGAGAGACTGTGGGGGAGAGAAGATGGGAGGCGACTGCTGACGCTGCAGACACACAGACGAGCTGCTGGCTCAGTGGCTACCGGAACAGCGCTCCGGACTACTTGGGTAACTGGCCCCGCGGCTAAAAGTAGCGGCAGACGAGCAACGGACCCACGGGCGACTGGCGACTACCGGAGATTGTAGCCTCCGGACTGCTGCTGCTGCTGACGACACGACGACCGCCTCCATTCAACCTCCCCCAACTGTCCCACCCCCATTTCACACACCCCCTGTTCAAACCCTAGCTCTACTCACACTCCACCCCCCTAGCACCACTCCGTACACTCCCACACATCCACCCCCCTCAGCGACAGCTGCAGCAGTGGGAGACGAAGGAGGAGGAGGAGCAGGCGACGCCACACAACCGCCACCCCCCAACCGCCACCCCCCAAACCCTAAAAACAGGGTAGGGAGGTAGGGGGGGGGGGGGGCAACGCGCGGCCCCCTGCGGCCCCCCCCAGGGCGCCGCGACGGGCGACGGGAGTTGGGCCGGGGCAGGTCGGGGCCGGGGCAGGTCCGGGACGGGGCGGGGCAGCAGGGGCCGCGCAAGGCTCCCCTGGGCAGCGCGACGGGGCAGCAGGGCCGCGCGACGGGGCAGCAGGGGCCGCGCGCGGCTCCCCTGGGCGGCGCGACGGGGCTGCAGGGGCCGCGCGACGGGGCGACGTGCGGGTCCCCGTCGCCCGTCGCAGCGCCTCCCGGGGGCGACGCGGCGAGTGACGGGGCAGAAACCCGTCGCGCGCCTCGGGGCGCACGGCGGGCAGAAAACCGCCGCGCGCCTCGGGGCGCACGGCGGGCAGAAAACCGCCGCGCGCCTCGGGGCGCACGGCGGGCAGAAAACCGCCGCGCGCCTCGGGGCGCACGGCGGGAAGAAAAACTGCCGCACGCCACGGGGCGTGCGGCACAGAGAGTAGCAGTAGCAGTTGCAGCGGAAGCAACAAGGTGGTGAGCCCACCCACAGGATCGATCCAAGGGGATCGACCTGCTCTGATAGCATGTGAAAGTTTGAAGAAAGAAGAGGGAAGAAGAGGGGTTGCACTAGCAAGAATGGGGATACAAATAGCAAAACCCTAGAAGAGTTGTACTCGCTATAGAGCACCCCACTACAGGCTAGAGCATAATATTCTGACAGAAAGCGGTTCCAGATAGTCTATTTTGTAAGGTCGGGATTATGAATGCTTGTGCAAACGATCCACAACAACACATAGTTGCAATCCCATCATCTTGGCCATGGACTCAACAAGAGCAATTTTTTAAGATGAATATACGTTAAGAATGTCAAGTGCAAGAAGAAAATCAAATCGCAACCGCCATCAATGCAAGTTCGCGGATTGGTTGAAGGGCCGGTTCACTACGAGTTCAATGGAATAAGGCCTACCGATACATTGCGCCTGAATCAGCGCTCGCCGAATCATAATGTGCATGGGGAAATGGTGCATATTAGAGCGGGACATTATAAAACGTACTAATAGTAGGAAATTCTCGCATGGGCATGAGAGGCTTGCTAATAAGCCGCTTGGTTGACTGTCTCTGACTAGGTATCTTGTTCCACTGATAAATTCTTTAAGAGATGAAAATGTCGGAAATCAAGTGTACCAACATGCAACAAAATATCACTTCGGTGTCTGCAGGATGCGGGGCAGTCTCCAGTGCCGGAAAAATATTGTTTCTTTTGTCCATGTTCACTTCTTGAGACGTACACTAAGATCGCGGTTCTGAAGTTCGCCCGCCATCCGAAGTAGGGACAAGTGTAGACGGAAGTACACGTCTGATTGGCTTCCATGCTCCAATATATCTGGAAACTTGTGTGATGACCAATGATAGGGTGTTTTTACACGTCATTGAGGGCCATTTTGAGCTGATGGCGGGCAAACTTCGCCCAGAACCGAGACCTAACTACACTCAAGGTTCTCGCCGCGTCCCGCGTCCTATACCTCAGAGCGATCAGTTTGGTGGAAGGGGATGGAGTAGGAGAACTCGGACTTCAGCAAACAAAAGTCGCAACACAAAGCTTTCCTAGACCAGGGTGGACACCGTTGTCCTACATTGGCACGAGGACAATGCCTCTCATCCATCCGCAAACAGTTTCGAGCATGACCCGGTCACTCTGTGAGCACTGTGCTCGGCAAAGCCAAGGTCCTGACGGGCCGCCGGGCACATCGGAAGAAAACTTAGGGTTTATCGGACCTCATGATGAACATCAGCCTGCTCTATGCTTTCGAATTTATGAGAACACATTTGTCCGTACAGTACTCCTGGGCATTTTATGGTCAAATGTCAACAATGGTGACCAGCGCGGAGCAACACGTCGTCGCTGTTGGAGGGATCATTCCTAGGGTGCCACCAAGGATGCTGAGAAACTCCAGAAGCTGCTGCTCTACAATACAGTACCATACAGTAACCCAAACCTTTCGAGTGCCCATTGCCCAGCCCAAGCCCAGGGGGAATTGGTGCGTCCTTCCTTGTTCCCTCCCTTCTCGTGACACATCACTCTGCTGCGCTGGATCTGTCACATCAAGTGTATGGTGAAGGATGCGGTGGCCCACACCGCGCTAGTGTTGCCATCCCAGCTGTAATCATTCAACAATGGTGCTGGGTGACTGCGTGTGTGTGATGTGATCAGCCAACAACACAGACTTGGCCTCGCCTGAGGCTGGCATGAGGACGGCTCGTGGTGGTCCACCATGAATCAGGATTCAGGAACTCACTACTCCATTTTCTTTGTACATCCTGACCGCACATTACAGTACAGTACCGCAATTGTCAGCCTTCCCACCCACCTGATGGATGCTCGGCTTCGAGCTTCTAAAGAGCTCGCTCCAGAATCTCAATCTCTCGCTACCTCCTCAAGGCTCTACGCTGCCGGTTCCTCTGGTCCGTACATTTAGCCTCGCCCCATGCTCTACCTACGCAACCCCCCAGCCCTCCCTGAGACAATCCGGCTTGTCGAAGTTTTGGCATGCCCGTTCGCGTTCCGTAGTGGTTAGTGCCGATAACGCGTCGATCATCATCATCGTCATCCTCTACATAAATAGAGCTCAATACGGGGCCATTGCTCCGCTCGCCGCCCTGCCGCCAACACACTTCTCAGGCTCAGCGTTCGAGTCTACGTACTATTTTGCTGCTATCATTCCCTAGTTTCATCCGACATGAGCCTCGTACTACCGGAGAAGCGCCTGTGCCGCGCGCAGCCTGATTCGGGGTTGCCGCCATCGCAGCTGCTCCTCCTCCCCACGTCCGTGCAATGGCGAATCCTGGACCTCCTAGACGCTCGCTCGCTCGTTTGCCTCTCGGGCTCGTGCCGCGAGCTACGGACCGCCGTCTCCGCCTCCGCTGATCCGCAAGCCGCGCTTCGATGGCGCCGGTAATACGTTATCCAGTAAACCTAATACTATCCGCGATGTTGAACGCTCAATCATGATTCTAACCTTATAAAGCATCATGTCCGTTCGTATCGAGGCCTTTCTGGGCTCACAGTGCTATTTTCAGCTGCGAATCTTGACCTAATCTGGTTAGCACCCTCCCTTACGCTTACCAAGACGCAACCCTTACCCATCGTGTTTCTCTTTTCCTGACTCCCCGCCTTTCCCGAACGCAGCCTGTGTCAGGCAAAGCTTGGTCCGTGCCTGGGCGCGCTGCACGAGGCGTTCGCGCGCCACCAGATGCGCCAGCGCCTGAAGTCCTCGCCGACCTCTTCGCTCCCCCCGGTCGACCATCCGCGCCTGAAGCCCCAGCAACCCCAGTCGGCGCTCGAACACGGCGAGAATCCGCATTTTCAGGGGGAGAATCGGAGTCAGCCCGAGCAGACGCCGGGACCGCCAGCGCAACAGGGTCAACTGCAGGAGCAGCCGCAGTCACAGCAGCAGCAGCAGCAGCAACAGCAGCAGCAGAAACAGGCGCAGTCACTGCTGCAGCAGCAGCAGCAGCAGCAGCAAGAGCAGCAGGAGGAGGAGGAGCGGGCGAGCAGCAGCGACAGCGCCTGGCAAATGGCGTGGCATTGGAGCTGGGAACCACCCCCGCAACTTCCTGACCTCGCCACTCTCCCTACCCGTGACCCCGCCCGCACCAGAAGATCAACGTGCGGCTCGGTGGGAAAGCGGCCGTTTCGGCGATCGGCGGGGCTGCGGTCGCGGTCGGGGGAGCTGTCGCTTGCGCCGATGGCTGCGGCAGCGGTGGCGGAGGGATACGGCGAGACGTGGTTCTGGCAGCGGCTGTTCGGCGCTGCTGTGCGCCCGCGCGACGTGCAGTGGTGGCCGGAAGGGGGGAACGCATTGCGCCAGAGGTAGGGTTGGCGCGGCGGGTGAGAGCAGGTGGTCCATCCAAATTGGGGATGGCCGCAGCGAGGGGAAGAAGGGGGGGTGGAAGCGCGGAAGCGTAAGGTGGAATGCGGAAGGGGGAACGCGGATGGCATGTGGGTGGAATGGGTTGTCAGCGAACATTGAGCTGCACAACTTGGCCTCTTTGCGGTTTGCAGAATTATTCGTAGCACTTATACCCATTTCCTCTCCTCCCTTTTCTTCCACATTCCGCTTCAGTTTCCGCCTCTCGTCTTCTGTTCCCCCTTCCGTTCCTCTTCCCTCCACCTCCCTATTCCCTCTCCCCGCTCCCCTCTATCCGTTCCCAGCCTCATATCGTCGTGGCGCGCGGAGCGCGCTAAATCGGGAGGCGCAGTCCCCTCCGCGGGGCTACAGACAGCGCAGCTGCTGCCGCTGTGTCGGCAGGCGGACATGGGCATGCGCGCGGGTGCAGGCGGAAGCGCGGGCGCGGGGAACGGGAAGGGGGGCGGGGGGGACGCGGAATGGCCAGCATATGACGAGTCAGCGGCGGCTGCGCTGGAGATGCTCGAGCGCACAGGGCACTCCGCCACTCAGGTAGGGCAGGCGGGGTGGGGGAGGGGGATGCGGGGGAGACGCGGGGTTCGCCCAGCGGAGGTGGTTGGAGATTACCAGCGGAGATGCTATGTTGGGGAATGGGGAAAAGGCGGAAGGGCGAAGTGGAAAGTAAGGGAGCAAGATGCTGGCGCATCTGTGATGATGTTGTTTCTGTCATGCCGTGCATGCGCCACGCCAAGCATCTCCACTGCATGAAGCTTCCTAGTCTGACCTGACTCGCCATCCGACGTAACCCTTCGGTGCAAGCCCACTCTTCTTTATGTGCTGCACCACCCATGGCCTTGGCATCTCTGGCTCACTAGGCACACATCTCCCACGTTTGCTTCAGCGCGCCCCTCCTTTTGTGTGCCGTTGTTGGGAATGGACAATGTAATCTGGACTGGAATGGGATGGAATGGATATGAGATGGGATGGAATGATATTCAGGTGGGCGAGCTGCTGGTGGTGGTCGGGGGATTGAGTCGGCAGGGACAGGCGACAATAGACGTGCTCGTCTTCCACCTCGCCTCGCTCGCTGCCTGGCGCCCTGCCGTGCACACATGGGGGGGAGACGCGCTGCCCCGCCGCCGCTTCCGCCACACCGCTGCGCTCATTCACCCGCCTGCTGCGCTCAGAGCGGGGGGGTTTGCACAGGAGGATGATCCGATTCTGTTCATGTTCGGCGGATATGATTTGGAGGTGCGTGCATGCGTGCGGGAGGGTGGGTGGTGGTTTGTAGGTGCGTGGGTGTGTGAGTGTTTAGGTGGGTTGATGGATGGATGGTGGATAGTTAGGAGGGAGGATGGATGGATAAAGCACTCGTCCCTCCTTGACCCCCCATCAGCCGCTCGTCACTGCCTCTGTCTGTCCCTCTTCCTCCTTCGTGTGTGCGTGCGAGCATTGCTCTCGCCCTCTCATTGCTTGCGTTCCATGCCCGCCCCTTTAAGCCGTTCTTTCCTCGGCCCCTGATGTGCTGCATCTGCGTGCATGGATGCGTGTGTGCTGTGCTGCGTGCAGGGCAACGTGCATGGCATGGCGGAGTCCTCCGTATTCCTCTGCCTCTCCACTGCAGGCTGAATCCGAGTCACTTTATGAAATTTCTTAAAACCCTTCCTCATGTGCTGCGTGTCCCGCTGTGTGCAGGGCAACGTGCATGGCATGGAGGGGGCCTTCTTCCTCTGCCTCTCCACTGCAGGCGGAATCCGAGTCACAGGCTGAAACTTCTCAAAAGCCTTCTGCATGTACTGTGTGCTATCACTGCGTGCAGGGCAACGTGCATGGCATGGAGGAGGCCTTCTTCCTCTGCCTCTCTGACGCAGGAGCCACTGCCACGTGGCGCCGTGCGCACACCAGAGGCACCATGCCCTCAGCGCGCTTCCACCATGCCATGGCTGCCTATGCTAACGGATCCAAAGTGCTCGTCTACGGGTGCGTTGCTGTCCCGTCCCGTCCCATCCCGTCTCGTCCTGTCTCGTCCCGTCCCATCCATGCCACCCGCACTGAGATGGCTTTTTTGCTGTTCCGAACTTTCTCCTCCCGCATACTTGCACTCCTTTCCTCTCGCCCTCCGCAGTAGTTTCCCTCTCCTCGTTGCGTCTTCCCTCCTCTCGCTCTTTCTGAGAACCCTTCTGACCTTCCCTTCTGTTTCGTTCGCACAGCACCTGTCCGTCCTCCTTCCTTCCTCTCTCCTCCCTCCCGCTTTCCCGCACTCACGCCGTCCTTTCTCCTCCCTCCTCCCTCCTTCCCGTTCTCCTATCCTCTCTGCATGTCATGCTTTTCGTTTCCCTGAACAATGTGCTCACGCCTATGCATGCTCGTGCGTGCATGCAGAGGCGAAGGACTGGCAGTCAATGACTGGGACGTGGTGGGAGGAGCGCGACAGGAGGGCACGCTGGCACAAGGGGAAGTTGGAAGAGAGCACCCAGAGCAGGTTGAGCGGAGGGCAGAGGACGAGAGGGGAGGCAGGGCGAGAAGAGGCAGGGAGAGGGTAGAAGGAGAAGGGGAAGGAGAAGGGGAAGGGGCAGTGGGGAGAGAAGGTGAGGCAGTGGGAGGAGAAGACGGGCATGGAGAACGATGGCAGCGACTGCGGCTGCAGCCACAGCAGGTGCAGCAAGCCGAACAGCAGCAACAGCAATTTCAGCAACAGCAGCTGCAGCTGCAGCAGCAGCAGCAGCAGCAGCAGCAAGAAAGGCAATCTGAAGCGTTGCAGCAACACGAGCAGCAGCAGCAGCAGCAACAGCTCCAACTAGACGAGCAAAATCACAGTGGCAGGGGTGAGGGCGAGAGGCGGCAGGCAGGGGGGCAAGAGCAAGGGCTGCATTGTGTTGCGCAGCAGTGCACGTTGGATGAGATACGGCGAGACCAAGTCTGTGCGAGGGGTCAGGGCAGAGCTGATGATGGTAACGAGAGCAGCGAGGGGAGGAATACCCGGAGGAGTGAGGGGGAGGACGAGGGGATGAGTGGGTGGGGGAGTGAGAGTAGGTGTGGAAGCGAGTGTGAGGGTGAGGGAAGCAGGGGTGGTGGCGCTGTCACGCGCTCTGAAACACCCAGCAACAGCGGTAGCAGCGGCGGCAGGTGCAATAGCAGCAACAGCAGCAGAAGTGTCCGCGAAGAGAGTACTGGTCACCGCAACAATGGTGCCGCGAGTGTGGCTGGAGCAGACAAGGGTAGGGGTGGGGCTGCGTCAAGTGGTGGCAGTGGCAGTGGCAGGGGCAGTGGGAGGGAGAGCGGGTGTGGGTGTGGGTGTTGCGAGCAGTCACCGGTGGCATGGGAGAGAGTGTGGAACAGTGTGGGCGGTGAACAGGGCAATGGGAGGGCAAGGAGGCCAGCCAGCGAGGAGGCTCATGGGGAAGGCGGGCATGGGGAGGGTGGGCGTGCGCTGGTGGTGTACGTGCTGGATGTGAGCAGTATGACATGGTCGCGCGTGCCCACGCATGGGGTGTGCCCTGGTGTGCGCATCCTGCACTTCGCCACCACCTACACGTGAGTCGTGTCGCTCTGCGCTTCGCTGCTCGTCAACACCGTTTATGGCACTGCACCCTGCAGCACGCTGCAGCACCCTGCAGCACGCTGCAGCACGATGTGCTGCTCCCGTGGTCCAAAGTCCTTCTTTGGAGACTAGCCTCCTCTGCAGCTGCGCTTCTCATTTTACGTCTCCGGCTCGCATTGCCTAGACTCTGTTCAGTCCAGCTCACTCTCGTTTCCCTCCCTGCATGCTCTCCTTCTGTGCAGCTGCGGTGGTTCTGGCATTGAGCATATGGTCATCTTCGGCGGGTACAGGGACGATAGCACCAACCTGGAGACCATGCAGGTGCTGCCTGCCTGCCTGCCTGCCTGCCTGCCTGCCTGCCTGCCTGCCTGCCCGCCCGCCCGCCCGCCCGCCCGCCCGCCCGCCCGCCCGCCCGCCCGCCCGCCCGCCCGCCCGCCCGCCCGCCCGCCCGCCCGCCCGCCCGCCCGCCCGCCTGCCTGCCTGCCTGCCTGCCTGCCTGCCTGCCTTCACGCGCATTCCGCCCCTCTTCTCTCTCTCTTTCCCTCTCTCAAAATTTTCACCTCCTCACTCCGTAGGTTTGCAGTGTCCAGCTCGCTCGCAGTCTTTCGCTGTCTCTCTGTTCCTTTCACCTCCTCAGATAACATCTTCCCATCTTTACGTCTCTTCACTTTCTCCGCTCCCGCCCGTCGTCCCCAGCTCTATGTCCACAGCCTCGTCTCCAAAAGGTCTCTTTGCTGATGTGACATTCAATCAAACAAGCACCTCCCCGCTGGCTCCCCTGTTCCCCCCGTCCCCTTCTCTCCCCGTCCCCCCGCCACCCCTGTCCCCTCATTCCCTCCGTCTCCTCCCTCAGCCCTATGCTCTCAACCTTGCCTCCATGGAGTGGCGTCGTGCCCGCTCCTCCGCCCCCACGCCTGCCCATCTCCCGGAGTCAAACCGCGCTGCAGCATACCAGCCTATCGCTCGCAACCGCAGCGGCCTTACCAAGGTACCTACCTGCTTGGCGGTCGCTGCTCTGTTGGTTTGTTTTTGCACTCTTGTTGCCGCCGCTGTATGTTTGTTTGCGCTCTCGTTGTTCCCACGCACGCCAGCAAACAAGCGAGCGAGCGAGCAAGCAAAGCACGCACGCACATGGACACCTTCGTGCTTGTCTTGCCGATTTTCCTACAGCCCAGTGTCTTCTCAGCTGTCATCCTCCCTAACACCCCACTCAGTGTAATTCTCAAAGTTCTGCCGACGCCAGTCCCAACACGTGCCCACCTGTTTCCGTTTCCTGTTGCGCCCACTGCCGCGCTTCGTGCCTGTGTGCATACGTGCAGGTGGGGAACGACACGTTGCTGCTGACAGAGGGCACCATCTATGACACCCGCAGCTACCTCCGCGATGTGCACGCCCTGCACCTGCCCTCCCTCTTCTGGTGCGTGCCTGCCTGCGCACGTGCGGCTGTGCACTCTTTTCCTCCCTCTTGACCACACGGATACTCGTTCTGTTTGGCCTGTGCTGCTTTCTCTCTCACTCTCTCGTCACTCTCGCTCTCGATCCCTTCTCCCCCAGTCCTCCCCTCCCCCCTTCCTCTCGCCACACACAGCTACCAAATAAAAACACACGCACAGCACCATGAGCCACGCGGATTGCACTCCATGCCCGTCCCACGGTGTCTCTGCTGTGTGTGTGGCATGGCAGGTCGCCTGTGAGGGCACATGGGCAGCCAACAGCGGGCCCCAGTGGAGGCCTCACAGCAGAAGGGCTCATCGCCTATGGCGGCTGTGTGCTAGGTAAGTTGCCTTACCTTCCCACACATCAGTGTGCTGAGCTAGTGGTTTTTTGCAGGCAGCTGTTTTCTGGGTGTTAGTGCGCAGCGCCCTGTTCTATTCCCTGCCCTGTGCACCTCTCCGTCTCTCTGCCATGCATTGCAGCAATTCCATTCTTCACCTGATCCCCATGCACTGTTCACCATCCAAACCGGCCCTTCTCCCACAAGACATTCGTGCTTCAGAGGCAGTGTACAGGCCCTTGCCTTCCCAGCTATACCCTACCTACCCACACACCCACCTCCGCCCTCCCCATCTCTCCTCCCTCCTCCTTCTCCTCCTCCTCCCGACTCCTTCCGTACCCGCTCCCCCCGCTCTTCACCACCAGGCACGCTGGGCATTCAGCTGATGGCGAGGGTGGATCCAGTGGTCATCGGCTCATGGGGAGAGCTGTCTTTATTTAGTCGACTAAAAAATCTCTCTCCCCCACCCCTCCCTCCCTTCCTCTTCCTACTCCCCCTGTCACCAGGCACGTTGGGCATTCAACCAGTGGCGAGGGTGGATCCCCTGATCATCGGCTCATGGGGTGCACTGTCCCCACCGCAGCCCCAGCCTCCCCCCGCGCGCACCTGCTGCCGGCCCTGGCTGCGCCTCTCTGCTGGCCTCTCGCTGCTGCCGCTTCAGCCCATTGAACTTGTCTACTCCTCCACCTCCCCACCCGACTCTGCTGCTGCTGCTGCGATGGAGAAAGCTACCGTGGCCCATGGAACAGGAGGGGCTAGCAAAGGGGGTTCAGCTGACAGGAGTGATTTGCTTGGCAGCCCCAGTGAGGAGGACTGTTCTGCGCCTGCGGTAGGCCAAGGTGGGATGGCCGTGCAGCGTGTGGGCGTGGAAATGTGTGTGTGCTGTGCGCTGTTCTACTCCTTGCCTTGCCTCTCATGTGCTGGTTGTGATAGATTCCCCGGTGTTCTTCTCGTCCTCCTTCCGGCCCCCCCTTGTGCGTTTCCAGTCCCCCCTGCACCGTCAGGTGTAGACGATCTCTCCATGTGGACTCTTCGCTGTGGTGACTCACCAACAGCAGCAACAGCAGGGGCAGTACCAGCAGCAACGGCAGGGGCAGTATTAGCAGCAACAGCAGGGGCAGCAGATGCTTCTGTGCTATTCCAAGCAAGTGCTCGTGCGGAGCAGGATCATACGCACATACCGTCGCCCCTGTGCCACACTGCCTTCCGCCTCCCGCATCTCAATACCGCGCTCCTGCCCTCCTCTTCCCTTCTTCCCCTGCACATGTCTCCCGCATCATCCCCTTCTGCAACCCCGCCTACTGCTCTCCCTACCGATGCTGCCTCCGTACATGCTCCTGCTGCCCCTGCTGCGGATGCTGTTGCCTCTTCGTCTCCTCCTTGCCCTTTGTTTGCCAAAACGTCTGCGAGTCAACCGCCAGACGCATCAACAACGGCGGTGGCGGCAGCAGTTGCTGAACTTGACCCTCTAAAGCTGCTTCTTCCAACCCCTGCTTCTGCTCACACACACATATCACTGCCTTTTGCGGTGTCTCTCTCCCCTCCTCTCCTTTCACTTTCGGAGGAAAGAGGAGGGGAAGGGAGGCCAGGAGGAGGAGGAAGAGGCGGAGTGGGGGCGGGAATGAGTATTTTGTTAGCAGCACCAGAGGAAGAGGGAGCAGAGGCAGGTGCTTGTGCTACAGCGACCGGCTCATCTGCCTCCGCGGCTGCAGCAACAGCAACAGCAGCAGCAGCAGCAGCAGCAGCAGCAGCAGCAGCAGCAGCAGCAGCAGCAGCAGCAGCAGCAGCGGTGGGAGATGTAGCGTCTGCGGCAGAAGCAGCAGAGGCGGCGGCACAGGCAGTGGCAGCGGTGGCGGCTGCGTGTGTGAACATTGCGCTCATGGTGCGCGATGTGCGGCAATCTCTGATCATGCGCAGGGGAGGGGTGGGGAACGAGGAGGGCGATGCTGCTGGTAAGCACCTGTAGCAGTGGCACCAGGAGAGGCCTGGTGGGGAAGGGATGGGATTTTGTGCTTGTGTGTGCGTGTGTGTGGATGTGTGTGTGTTGGGCATGGTTGGTGGGTATGTGGTACGTCTGCAACTTTTGAGTCGTCTTGGTTGGTGTCTGCGTGCGTGCATGCGTGCGTGCATGCGTGCATGTACATTGATTTCCTAAGGGGAGTTCTAATATGCCTATCAAATATGAGTGTATTACCATCAACATAAGTCTTCATATGACCATCAATATTATGTCCCTCCAACATAGCACTGTGTGTCCTCAGGGGCACAAGACTGCACAGTGGTACAGCCTGATTGGTAACTGAACTGAGATGTGCACAGTGCAATTCCATGCACTAGAGGGTTCCCTATATAGGACTGGGTCACTGGGCCATAGCTGGTGTGACATGTGGTATGGTGCTGCCGTATCATAGGAAGGGAAACCACTGCATGCTCCAGTCCAGGGCTCATTTTTGGTTTTGACCAACCCTTAGGATCAGTCTAGCACCTGTTCAGAAACCTGATTTTCAGGGTTACCCGTTGTGGAAAACCTGATGCATCAGGGTTTTTGCATGTATTAAAACGACTACCCTGAGACATCAGTGTACCAATTCGCAAAACCCTGTTTCAGCTGTTATTAACACAGCACACAATAACAAGCTTAATCATCATCATCATACATGCCACACGGTTGTTGCTCGTGGTCACTGTCCTCCTCTGGCTCCAGCACTTTTCGTTCCGCTGGGGTCGGCAGGGCCACTGTTTTCGCCGACCAGCGCCTCTCTGCAACAAATTAGTAACGCGTGGGGAACACGCGTTACGGACATCCAGGTGCATAGGGTGCAAGTGGGCCTTGTTGTTGTGCTGCAGTAAGCCAGGTTTCCTGCCCAACCTGTAATGCTGGCATGTTAGACAACAAGACCAACTCGCTACGTTGGCGATGCCTCGAATGAAACTGTATTTCTGGCCAATGGTGGCCCACCTCGTTCCAGCACACGTAAACCTCTCGCCGAAATCTACATTTTCGACAGTTGGCAAAAGGAAAATCCAGGTTCGGGGTCGGGTGGTTAAAGCCGTGGCCCAACTATCAGCTTCAACTTCGAAGTATTATAGCTTGGAACTTGGTTGTTCCAGGCAGTTCTGTGGCGAGAAGTTTGTATTTTCCGAGATTCCATTTTTTTCATCCAATAAGGGTCTCGTTACGCACACTCCATGTTTGTCCTGCTACTGTTCCTAAGAATGTGCACCCCGGTTTTAAGGGGTGTTCAAAGTGCTGCACATTTCCGACGTCAAAGTTCGTCGAGGTTGTTGGAGAAGGTTGGTGAGCTGAAGGGTGCCAAATTGGTGTTCAAAGTACGCTTCAAAAATTGCTGACGCCAGCATCGCTGCCTGTACGGAATTCAGCGCATCTGTACAGTGATGACGAGACCACATCAGACAGAATAACAGTTTGGCGGGAATTGCATGTTCGAAATTGACGAAGCTGGAAAATTCGCTGTGGGTTTTTCGCAGCCATTAAACGCACTGTCTTTGCATACGAAAGAAGCCATGCGATTAACGAAATTCGTCTGAATTCAATTGTTCTACTACTTATGCCGGCATTTGTCCTGATTGGAAGTTCGTCGCCGGCATTGTGTTCAAAGTGCCGCGCTCGCCGTCAATCGACGTCGGGCACGACGTTGACCGACGTCGAGCATGACGTCGACCGACGTCGGGCCTCCGACGTCAAAGAGTGTAGAATATTACTTTGTACACGCTTTTAGGGGACCGGGGGGGGAAGGGTGGGGGTTCGCTGGTACGCGCTTCAGGGTAAACCTCGATAAGCGAACGGCAACCCTGAGGCGACAGTGTTCCTTAATCTTAAAACCAGGCACATCAGGGTAAACCAAGGTCCCGAAAAAATTACCCAACATCAGTGTTACTACCAAAAATCACCCTTCTAGTCAGGGCATCAGGGTGATTTACACTGATAACGTGGGCCCTGCTCCAGTCTAGTTGATGGATCTGATGTCAAAAGTAGGTATAGTACAACAACATTAGCTACCGGAACAGAATGAGCTCTAGCTTCAGTGCTAGTTCAGGAGTGCATACAAGTACGGTACCACCAGGGCAACACGCTATGTGAGCAGCAGTAGTTAGCACCTGCGCGGCACACATGATATGACATAATATGGCATGACATGGCGAATCGCATGGAACAAGACAAGGCATGCACATGGGCGGAGGTTCGAGCAGCAAGCCGCGCCAGTGGCGGTTGAGCCTGCTGCTGTCATGATGCCATGTGACGTTGTCATCATGCCAAGAGATCCCACCATGTCACATCACACCATCATCACACTGTGTTCACATCACATCACACAATGTCAAAGCACGTCACGTCACACCAGGGTGCGTGCCAGACTGGAGTGGCATGTACTACTCAACGGCAACATCATTGTCTTCTTCCAGTGGCGGCGCTATCTTACCACCGGGCTTAAACCCCAAAGACTGCACGAGCTTTTCAATCTGCAGGGTACCAAAGCAAGTGGCTCAGATAGGAACAAAAGTAGTGTGCGTGAAAAAGGGGCTGCCAAAATGGTAGTAGATGGTGGAATAAATGCAGATAAAATGCAAAAAATCGAATAAGGAACAAGCTCCTGCAATTCAAACCACCTGTGTTGCAAATCAAGCACATGGAACGTGGCACATGGGTTGCAATACCCACCTCATCAAACGTTTTGACCGAGACATCGTAGCGAGCCACCTCCCTGTTGGCCGAGTCGAAGAGCACCAAATCTGGCACCTTGCCGTGGATGTAGCTGCGGCACACATGCACACACTCGCACACACACACACTCACGCACGCACGCACGAACGCACACGCACACGCGCACGCATGCACGCACGCACGCAAGCACGCACAAACACGCACACACACACACGCACGCACGCATACGCACGCATGCGCACGCGCACACATGCATGCATTCACGCACGCACGCACGCACACGCACGCACACGCACGCACGCACGCACAAACACGCACACACACACACGCACGCATACGCACGCATGCGCACACGCACACATGCATGCATTCACGCACGCACGCACACGCACGCACGCACGCACGCACGCGCGCGCACACACACCCTACACACACACACACACACACACACACACACACACACACACACACACACACAAACACACACATGCATGCACACGCACACGTGCACGCACGCACGCACAAACACGCACACGCACACGCACACACACGCATATGCACACGCACACGCACGCATACGCACACGCACAAATACACACGCTTGCTCACACATGCACGCACGCACGCACGCACGCACGCACACACACACACACACACACACACACACACACACACATGGTGGTGGGGTGCACGCGTGGGGTGTGGGGGGAGACATGTGAGGATGGAAGAGAGGGAGAAAAGAACGGGGAGAGAAACGGAGCTGGAAAAGGTGAGGATGGAAAGATGGGAGCATATGATGATTGTCGAATAGGGTGACACTTGGGGACGAGTGCCAGCACCGCGCGTGGCATTGTAACCGTCTGTGCCTGCCTTAAGGTGGGGTGAAGGGACAAGATCAGCCTCGAGAACGCTGGTGCCATGCCTGGTGTCATGCAGTTGTTGTCGTGCATGTGAAATCCTACCAGCCTGCACGCATACCGTGCGACACAATGTGTCCTACCAACTCCATCCACTTTGCTCTCCCCTTGCTGCACAGTCCACTAAATCGCGCTCTCGACTGTCAGAAATCTTCTCTGCTGTCCACCCTTCACACCGGCAAAACTGCTCTCCTTTGATCACTTTGTTCGTCCCTCGCTTCACACTGACATGATCGTCAGATGGCCACTTGACCCCGTCTACCACTGTTAGGGCAATCACGAGACGGCAAGCTTGTATACCCCTCCCACCTCCCCCTCCCACCTCCCACCTCCCCGTCCATCCTCCCCCAGAGTACTCACTTGATGGTCAACGACTCGTACGCATTGGCCTCCACACGCTCCTGTGCCCGTGGGGGGCAGGTACACGGGACGGGGGAGGGGCGAGGGGAGAGGGGCGCCAGAGGAGGGAGGAGAGGGGGCGGAGTGAGGGAGGAGGGAGGGAGGGAGGGAGGGAGGGAGGGAGGGAGGGAGGGAGGGAGGGAGGGAGGGAGGGAAGGAGGGAGGAGGCAGGGAGGCACGGAGAGAGGGAGGGAGAAAGAAAGGGAAGGACGGACGAACAGACGGACGGACGGAAAGAGGGAGGGAAGTGGCAGGAGAGCAGGAGAGAGGATGAGACGAGCGTCGCGCAAGTACGGGGCTTCATGGGATTCTAACTGAACTGCCACTCAGAAGGGCGGCTCAAAGACTCGGGCATGTGAGCAGCGGAGTTGGAGAACGAAGCAGGCGCGCGTGCATATGGGGGGGCGAGCGAGCAGCACGGGGGCGCGCGAGCAGACGAGCGGAACAAAGGGGGCGCGCGAGAGCGCAGAGAAGCGGGGCGGGGCACACCTCGAAGAAGCGGCGGACCTCCGGGAGGCGGTTGAGCTGTCATCCGCTGCAGGACTGCGCGGAGCGGGCGGGACACGGTACGGGGGGAGGGGCGAACGGCGGAGGTTGATTACTAAGGGGTACCCGAGAGGAAAGAGAGGAGAGCGGAAGCGTGTCCGCTGAGTATGTGTACGCGGTGACTTTTGAGTCGACTCAAAAGTGTCCGCTGAGTATGTGTACGCGGGGAATGCGGACGGCGCGCAGGTAGCGTACATTATCCCTGCTCCTCCCGCGGGACGTTCACAGGCACCGTATAGAGTTCCTTCGGAGTCCACCATCGCGTTTGAACGACCAGAGCCATAAGCTACGCACGAGGCAGGTCGTTTCGTTTCCGAGCAAACGGTGCTGCTGCTTTGCAGTAAATCGCGTTTATTGGAAGCAACAAGCATAGGGATTCGATTCTGTTTCCTCTGCGGTCTCACCTGGAACTCGCCGCGCGCGAAAGACGGAGTGCTCTTGAAGGTCGTCGTCGCGCGACGCACGGAAGGGAGCAGCAGCAGGAGCACGACGGACACCACCACCACGCCGCACAGCGAACGACGCAGCCCCGCTGACGGCGCCATACGCGGCGCCAACCGTTAGATGGCGTGACTGGCCGTCAAAATCGCGCCGTTGGCGTAAGGTGTCGTTATGGCGAAGGGAAAGAACGGCCGGCAATGGAGAGACGGATGGTAGGGAAGCAGACGGACACAAACGGGGGAGTCGGATGGACGGACGGAGACAATAACGGAACACGGCGGATGGGATGGCACGCATTTGGAGTCAGGCTGGAGATAGATTGTGTCGTGTCAGTGTAAGGTGGTGCGACAGGGGGTGTTGTGTGGTGCAGATTGGTTCGAAGTTTGGCGGTCGGTCGAGATTGCAGATGCCAGAGTGTGTTCCAAGCCCAAATTTTTGTCGAGGTCGTGTATGCGTCAAGGAGCGGACATAAAGTCAATCTATAGTGAACCAATGGTCACGATCAATACAGGATGATATAAATAAACTCCTTCAAGTGCTCTAGAACTTGCAGCTTGAGCTGCTGAATTAATTGCACACACATCTAAGCGACACCAGCTAACTATTAGGGCATGATGGTTGCAACACATAGCCACCATAAATCCTAGCTGACTGTGATGAAGAGCCACAACTTCTGAGAGGAGAACATGGTGCATGGTCACACAAAAAAGGTGATGCAGAGAATAGAGACATGGAGGAGAAGCAACAAGGCGAGTTGCAACAAGGAACAGGTGGAGCGAATAGCGTGACTTGCTTCAGAGCAGACCCTGCCGCTGCACCTGCATCTGCACCCACAGCTACTGCTGCAACAAGAAGCACGGGGAGTGTGCTCCACGAGCCATGTCACGAATCGCGAAGCCCAGCGGCGGCGGCTGCACGATAAGTTGGAGAGTGCGTGACTCTACCAGGCGGTCCAGCGGTCCATCCATCCACCTGGATTGAGGAATTAAGACAGGCAAAAAACGGAAGACGGAGGCTTTAACACACTGACAGAAACGCAGCTAAACGAGGAAAGGAGGAGAGGAAAGGAGAGGAGAGGGAAGGAGAGGGGGAGAGGGAAGGAGAGGAGCAGAGGGAAGGAGAGGAGGAGAGGGAAGGAGAGGAGGAGAGGGAAGGAGAGGAGGAGAGGGAAGGAGAGGAGGAGAGGGAAGGAGAGGAGGAGAGGCTTAGAGGAGACAAGGGGGAGAGGAAGGGAGGGGAGGAGGACTTGCCTGGGAACCTGCGGATGAAGAGCTTGCGAATCTCCCCGAGGAAGAGGATGGTGAGGGCAAAGGGGATGCCGATGAACCAGTAGACGATGCTGATGGGGCGCACTGAAAACACCTCCTGCAGGAACGGCACATACAGCAGCGCCGCTGCTATGCCCGTTTCAAACAGCAGCGAGAAGTTGAGCACCCAGTTCCACATGCCCTGGTGTGGGGGTGGGGAGGGGAGGGTGTGGGGTTGGTCTTCGCCTCAAGTCACGTACAGCAGCGCTGCTGCTATGCCCGTTTCAAACAGCAGCGAGAAGTTGAGCACCCAGTTCCACATGCCCTGGTGGGGTGGTTGCGGAGCGTAGATGAGGAGGCTTGAGAATGAGAATGGGTGTCGCCTTGAGAGTGCGGTTTGAAAAAATGCAGTCTGGGGATGATATCCTGAGAGCGGTGGCTGGCGGCTCCAGTGGAGGAGGTGGTGGCGGTGGCGGTGGCGGTGGCGGTGCCAGCAGCAAAAAGTCTGGGGGGGTCATCTACTGACCTGTTGGAAGACGGAGAGGCGGCGGGTCTTGCAGACGATGAGGTTGGCCCACTGGGTGACGATGATGGCAACAAAGTAGGCCGACTGCGCATACAGCAGCACCTGCCTCTGGTACTCGGGGTTTGCCTGGGACATGGACCGTCCCCCCCACCAGTATATCCCGCCCGCTGGCCCAGCCGGTGGGTCCAGGGACTTTCGGTTGGGGAAGCCATACTGCGTAAAGGGCAAAGTGCGGGGAGAATGGGAGCAGGGGTTGGAAAGTGCGGGGAAGATGAGAGCGTTGGAAGGACCAGGGGAGAGTGGCAAGGAGAGAGTTTGAAGTCAGCCACAAAAGGTTGGGAAGCTGTTAAGCTGTTTAGTAAGCTGTTTAGCGACTGTGCGCACCAAGCAGCAAAGCAGAAATGCATGGTATGGAGCCACCACCCAGCTGACTTTTGAGTTGACTCAGAAATGAATGGTATGGAGCCACCACCCATCGACCCGCCCATCCACCTCCCCAAACCTCCCTACCCCACCACCCCCCCCCTCTTCCCCTTCAACCCCCCTCCCCAGCAGATACGCACGCACCAGGGTGGTATCAGCAGAAGCGCACTGCGAGGGAATAGTCCCTCCCACAAACTGTGAAGCCGGCGAGTAGCACGTGAGGTTGCAGTACTGCTGCCCACGGAACCCACCCAGGCTGAATTCACTGAAGGGGTCCGCCACGACAGTCCCAGGCGCAGGCGCCGGGCAGCCGTAGAGGCAGTAGGCGACAGAGGAGGGCGAGTTGGCGGGCGTGGGGATGGCTGTGTAGTCTGGGGAGGCACAGCCGTACCCGCAGCGGTCGGGCTCGAGGTCGCTGTTGAGCGAGCAGATGATGGAGGAGGTGGCGAAGTCTGAGCCTATGGATGGCAGCACCTGGAGGGGGGAGGGTGGGGGGGAGGAAGAGAGGGGAGGAGAGAGTGTGAGGTTAGTAAAGAATGAGAGAAGAATGAGGGCTCGAGGTCGCTGTTGAGCGAGCAGATGATGGAGGAGATGATGGAGCAGATGATGGAGGAGATCGCTGTTGAACCTATTGATGGTAGCACCTGGAGAGAAGGGAGGAGGGGATAGAGGAGGGAGGGGGGGATAGAGAAGGGAGGAGGGAATAGAGAAGGGAGGAGGGAATGGAGAAGGGAGGAGGGAGTAGATAAGGGAGGAGGGAATAGAGAAGGGAGGAGGGAATAGAGAAGGCAGAAAAGAAAAGAGAAGGGAGGAGGGAATGGAAAAGGGAGGAGGGAATGGAGGGGGAGGTGGGGGGGGGGGGGGAGAGAGGGGAGGAGGGAGGGTGAGGCGAGTAAGAAATGAGAGAAGAGAAAAACGAAAAAGACGACACCACAGTCACTCACATGCACCCCCTCGGCTTTCATGAACATTCTCGTTCAGATGCATCCCCCTGTGCATGCACACCCTCTTCCACATACACCTCCCCCCTGCCCGCGGTACTGACGTGGGGCAGGTAGCCATAGTCGTTGAAGACAGCAAGGTAGGCGAGGAAGCCGGCGAGCGTGTGCAAAAGAGAGCAGTCTCGATGCCACCCCCCTCAAATGCACCCGACCTCACATGCCCCCCTCCCCCATGCACCTCCCCTGCCCAGCCCAGGGATGGAACTGACGTGGGGCGGGTAGCCATAGTCGTTGAAGACAGCGAGGTACGCGAGGAAGCCGGCAAGCGTCTGCACGACGCCGATCTGCAGGTATGCGTGGCTGATGAGCTTCCAGCTCACCAGGTGGTCCTTGCGCGCGTTGCGTGGCGGCCGCTCCATTATGTCCGACTCCTGGTGCAGGTGAAGAGGGGAGGAGTAGATTCTTTAGGCGTCTCAAAGAGCTTCCAGCTCACCAGGTGGTCCTTGCGCGCATTACGTGGCGGCCGCTCCACTATGTCCGACTCCTGGTGAGGGGGGGTGGGCGAGGGGTGGGGTAGGTAGGTACGGGGAGGAGGGGATTTTAGAGACGTCTCAAAGAGCTTCCAGCACCACCAGGTGGTTCTTGCGCGCGTTACGTGGTAAGCCCTCCATTATGCCCGACTCCTGGGAGGGTGGAAAAGGGTGGTGGAGGGGGAGGGGGAGGTGAATGGATGGTAGGTGGGATGGGGGAGGTGGGAGACGACATTAGCGGGGTGTGGGAAGTGGAGGGGGGATAGACGTCCCAAAGGAGGAAGCATGTCCGTGTCCTAAAAGCTCCCTCTCCTCCCCTCCCCTCCCTCTACCCCCCACCACCTCCCCACGTACTTCTCTCTCAGCCACCTCCCATCCTCTTCCCCTGTCCCTCCCTCCCCCCCCCACCACACTCACCTTCTCCTCATAAGCCAGCGAGATAGCCGGCAGCATGTCAGTCCCAAGGCAGATAGCAAGCATGAGCACGGTGGAGAGCGCCAGCGGCACGCCGCCCAGCACGTTGACGAGGTAGGGCACGAGCTCAGGGATGTTGACGGTGAGCGCGTAGCAGATGGTCTTCTTCAGGTTGTCAAAGATGAGCCGCCCCTCCTCCACTCCGTTCACTATGGACGCAAAGTTGTCGTCCATGAGGATCATGTCCGCCGCCTCCTTTGACACGTCCTTGCTGGGCGGGGGGCGTTGTGGGGGGAGGGAGGGAGGGAGGGGGGGAGGGAGGGAGGGAGGGAGAGGGGGAGGGGGGGGAAATGGGGGTGAGGTAGAGGAGAAAGAGGTTGAATTTGCGTCTATCAGGTGAAGGAAGTTGAGTTGGCTTCTGTGGACACGACCTTGCTGGGCGGGGGAGATAAAGAGGGGGCTGTGAGGAGTTTGGGGAAGATGAGGATCATGTCTGTGGCCTCCTTCCCATGCCCTTGCTGTGTGGGGGGGTAGCGGGGGCGGAAGGGGGGAAGGAAACAGGACAGGGTTATGGGGAAACAACGGCATGAGAGAAAGTGAAGCACGAGAGGGATAAACATCAACACACCCCGCCGCTGTGCCAAGCCCAAAAACAGAATGGCATACGGTTTAACGGCCACAGCTGAATGCACACATACCCGGCAATGCCCATGGCGATGCCAATGTCGCCCTTCTTGAGTGCGGGAGCGTCGTTGACCCCGTCCCCCGTGACGGCAACAATCTCCCCCCGCCGCTGACAGTGCTCCACTATCAGCAGCTTGTGCGCCGGGGACACACGCGCAAACACCAACTGGTATATGGGTTGGAAGAGAGTGGGGGAGGGAAGGAGGCGAGTGAGGGAAGAAGGGATGCAGGTGAGAAAGAGGGGAGAGTGAGAGTGAGGGAGGGAGAGAGTGAACACGAGTGGGGATGCAGTGCAAGGAAGGAAGCAAGCATGCACTGTACGAGCTCCCAACAGCGACTCAGATACAGCTGCCAAGAACGCGTGCATGCACACCGTGCAAGAGCGTGAGATGACTCTTGAGTTGACTCAGAAGTTGAGCAAAGGCGACCCAAGCATTGCTGCAAGGCGCACACGCATATAAGTACGTCCACATGCAAGCATAGCATGCATACCTGCTCGTGTGAGAGAGCCTCGTCCCACTTGAGCTGCTCG